TAATAACAATAATAATAATAATAATAATAATAATAATAATAATAATAATAATAATAATAATAATAATATAGGAAATACTAATGCTCTGATGGTTATTTGTAAAAATCCTTTCTTAGTGAGCCCCTAGAAGCCAAGAGGAACCTACGTGACAGATTTCAAGTTTGTAGGCTTTATGGTGCTGGAGATTTTGTGATGATGCGTGAGTAGCATTTCGCTTTTATATATATGGATTATTTTATTATTTTATATTTTATTTTATTATTTTATATTTTATTTTATTATTAATTTATATTTTATTTTATTATTAATTTATATTTTATTATTTTATATTTTCTTTCATTTTATTGCATTTCATTATTCTTATTTCTTTCCTTTTATTATTATTTTTTATATTTCATTTCATTATTTTTCTTTTCTTATTTTACTTTTATTGTCTTATCATCTCCTCCTAAGGTCTGTTTTGCAGATGGGTCCTTTTAGATGAGCTCACTAAGGATATTAGGTCAATACAGGGTAGTCTCCAACATACAACCTTAGTTTAGAAGGCCATCAACCGAGTTCAGGCGGAAGGGTTTAGAAGATCGATGTCTCTTCACCTTTGTCAACTTGAAGAATGGGTGGACTTCAACTCCCAGAATTCCCTGGCCATCTTGCCAGATCCTGGGAGTTGGAAGTCCACCTATCTTCAATCAGGCTGGCTGGGGAATTCTGGGAGTTGAAGTCCACCCATTCTTCAAGTTGACAAGATGGAGAGAAAGTTAGTTAGATGAAGTTGTCCTAGTAAGATCTGCAACTTCTCTAGACAGCCTACCACAAGTCCAACCCGCCCTGAACACTTCCTCCACCTCCCCAACCCCCCCCCCACAAGCAAGGCTCACCCAGGTGACCAAGGGCCCGGATACGAATTCCTCCATCGCTTCAAGCCCATCTTCATCCATGCTGTGGCTTGACGTGATGTCGTCTTCTCCTTGGAGGCCTTAGGTATGCCTGCGTTCTTGCACGACGACGTGCACCGTTGGGGTGTTTTAGGACTTCCTTCCGTAATGCTTTTTTTTGGGGGGGGGGGGGGGGTGGGGGGAATGAGTAAGGAGGAAGCTGGATTTCTTCAAAGCTTTAAATTACACCCTTCATGGTTCTGTCTTTCCCAATGCGGTAGACAGGAAGTCCTCAAAATGAAACCTAGCCTGTTGAAACTTCTGCATGACTCCTATATTTTTATTTTTATGAGCGATGGCATCAAAGAGAATTTGCGGAGGCCGGGCTGCAACTTTCTTGCTGGAAAATGACACAAATTGTGGTCACGACCCACACGAGAGCCTCCTCAGGAAGTTTTCCCGTCACCTCGTCAAACAGTGTCATCACAACTGCGGCCTCTTGTTTTGTCAGGGTGTTTTATTGATTGAGTTCGGCTTTCCACCGCAAACAGGGTCTGTTTGCAAATTCGAGCAATTTCTCTGCGCTTCACTCTGCCTGAAATAAACCCTAGAATTGAACTAGGTAGGATGTGAGTGCAATTTGAAACATCCAGTTTTGGTCACCATACTAGAAAAAAAACGTTGGGACTCTAGAAAGGGTGTAGAGAAGAGCAACCAGGATGATGAGGGGACTAGAGGCTAAAACATACGATGACCAGTTGCAGGAACTGGGTCTGGCTAGTCTAGTGAAGTACCAGGGGAGACAGGAGAGCAGTTTTCCAATATTTGAGGAAGGGGCCAAGCTATTTTCCAAAGCACCAGAAGGCCAGACAAGGAATAATGGATGGAAACTGATCCAAGGAGAGATTCAATGTGGAAATAAGGAGGGATTTTCTGACAGTGAGAACACTCAACCAATAGAATAGAAATTGCCTTTGGAAGTTGTGTTTCAAGAAGAGACTGGACTGCTATCTTGTCAGAAATGGTTGTAGGGTCTCCTGCTTGGGTGGGGGATGGGGGGGTTGGACTAGATGACCTACAAGGTCCCTTCCAACTCTGTTAATCTGTTAATGGTTAAAAGAATAGTAGCTAGGAGAACCAATAACATAGCAGAAGTTACTTTATTTATTTATTCATAATTTTTTAACAGCATCGGATGTCTTTGTGGGAGTCCTTTCTCTGCAGACACAAAGCTGTGGGTAACCTTAAGCATAATAGCAAAGATGAAACTCTGTGTATGCCCCCGAGCACTCCGGAGCAGTTTTGAAATGGCTTCCAATGAAAAAAGTGCTTTGCGAAATGAATAAAAATGTAATTGTTAAGAAAATGACAGAATTGGAAGGGACCTTGGAGGTCTTCTAGTCCAACCCTCCGCTTAAGCAGATCTGTTGTTCCAGTGCAGCAGCTTGGAGTAGACTCGATTTGTCAAACAGTTAGAACTTGGTCATAAGTATCTTTTTTGGGGGGGAGGTGTCCGTTGTAACTGGAGGACTTGCATTCTTCCATCTCTGTGCACACAATAACATTATTGCAGTTGTCATACACAAAATTAACCCCCCCCCCCATTTCTGTTTTAGTTCAACCTCCATAAAGCCTGGTAAGAATAATTCTCAGGAATTTTGATTATACACATTTTATTACACGTCGCTATACAAATTTGCACCCCAAAATGTCTTTGCTTTTTCACAAGACCGGTATCTGCGGTTTCAACCATCTCACCGAAGTAGAAAATAAGGTGTGTTTCTTTTCCACTCCCCTCATCAGAGACCAAAATAAGTGTGAAAATTCTATCTCATGCATAGATGAATTCAACGCTTTTGAGTGGAAAGAAATTATTTTTTAAAAAGCAGGCCTGGGACGGCCCCTGCAATTTGATTAGGTATGTTTTTAAAACTGAGGATTTTAGAGTTGCTGAATCATTCCTTGATTTCTTCATGCACAGGAGCATCTAACGGTGAAGGATGGAATTTTTTCCCCTTCTCTATCAAATAGAGTATGGCTAGATTTTTGTAGGGTATATCACCTTACTCCCAAGACAAAGTAACCCCCCAAAAAACCAGACTCAGATCTCAGTTTTATTTCAGACAATTTATTTGTTATCAGAGGAACACAGAAGAAGCTAAAGTAATTGTGTCAACAGAAGAGAATATTTCCAATTCAGGGATGGAGCCCCCTCTCTCTCTCTCTCTCGCAGACTTTTCAAAACCCAACTAGGTAACATCATCAGTGCTTGAAAGGAGTGTGGGGTTTGTTCTTTTTATATAAAGGGGCTTGCCACTATCAAGTCTTGACAATCAAACAATAAACAGTTCAATCAAGGAACGATCAAGAAGAAAACATTTACAAGGCATATCCCGCTAGTATATAAACAGAGAGCAAACCCCACACTCCTTCTAACACTGATCGTGTTACCTACAGGGGTGGGATTCTACTGGTTCGGGATGGTTTGGGCGAACCGGATGTTAAATTTGCATCTGGTTCGCCAAACTGGTATTTGAACCGACTGGCTGTCCCCGTACACCCCTCCCCTCTCCGGAGTCTCCACGCAGCCCATTTTCGATGCAGGTAAGTGCAAGATCCATGCGGAGGCTCTGGGAGGGGGAAAACGGGCCTTCCGGAAGTCCAGAAACGGGCCTGTTTCCGGCGGGCCTCCAGAGCCTGGGGGAGGCCATTTCCGCCCTCCCAGAGGCCCGAGGGAAGCCTCCGGACTCTGGGGAGGGTGAAAAACGGCCCTCCCGGAAGATCCGGTAGGCCACGCCCACCATGGCCACGCCCACCCAGCAACTGGGCAGCGAACCGGTTGCTGGGATCTTTGAACCCCACCCTCGGTTGCCTAGTTGGGTCATGAAACGTCCGCAAGGAAAACCAAGTTCAGAGAGCAAGCGAGGACTCCATAATTATGTAAACTCACACAACTCCATCTCTTCTGCGCTATCCTGAGCCAATTCCAAAACCCCTTGAGGACCATCAACCTGGTGGGGGTAGGGTGGGGGTTCCCACCAGGGCTAAGATCAGCAACGGAGCCTACTGGGCCTCACAGCTGGGAGACGATGTTGCTGGCCAGGCTGCAGGTCAGCCCGGTCCCGTCTTCTTCCACGTTGAGGGACTGCACAATGCTGTCCTGCACCACCATGGAGAACCTGGGGGAAAAGGCACGGAAAGAGGGTGAAACTGGGTGGGAGGTGGGAAGAATAATAATGGGTGGAAAAAGATAAGATTTCTGGAGGGAATCAAGCTAGAACTGAGAAGATCCAACCAGGCTTTGTAGCAATAGCTTTTTTAAAATTGACTCTTTTGAAGGGTGTGTAAATGTGGTTTACCTCTATGTGTCCGTTGATGGCTAGTTGTTGTTTTTTGTATCTCCTTGATGTACAACAGAATATACATCCAGGGGGTGGGGGGAAGACCAGGATCAAGGGTGAAATGAATGATGTGTCTCAGAGTCAGCTACACCCAGGTAGCACCGGCATGTTCACTCCTAATAAATCTTATTTAATGACCATTTGAAGTTACAAGGCACTGAAAAAGTGACTTATGACTATTTTTCATACTTATGACTATTGTGGCCTCCCCACAGTCACGGGATCAAAATATAGATATTTATGAGGGTCGCAGTGCC